AGCAAAGGGTCTGAATACTTATGACCATGTGATATTTCAGTTTTTCTTTTTTAATAAATCTACAAAAATGTCAAAAAAAATTTTGTTTTTCTGTCAATATGGGGTGCTGTGTGTACATTAATGAGGAAAAAAATGAACTTAAATGATTTTAGCATATGGCTGCAATATAACAAAGAGTGAAAAATTTAAGGGGGTCTGAATACTTTCCATACCCACTGTATATATATATATATATATATATACATATCATATTTATTTTGGTTATATTGAGATTTATTGTACTGTAAAAGGATTTTTCTTCTATAAGAATAATGGAAAAGCTGCTTCAGAAATATAGTGGATGTTTATTGATCCTCATGGGCAAACAAGGCTGCTGTACAGCACAAGTTGATGAGTTCTGCAGGGAACAAAGAAGGCTGCGTGCAGACTAGCATTCAGGCAGCAAGAAAGTCATTTTTTTCCCCATTGTCATGCTGCAATTAAACACACTAAACATAATTCATAACTTATTTGATCATTTTTCAAGCAAAAAGTCCAAAATACCTGTTGCAGCTTCTTAATTATGAGAATTTGCTGCTTGTCTTTTTAATTTTGCAATAGTAAACTGAATATTTGTGGGCAATATTTGTGCTAAAGATTCAGGCTTTCGCATATCTGTTGTACAAGTGTCTTTTGTGTTTTCAGATGCAGTACAGAAACAAGGAAATAAAGGAAGAGGTTTGATGATAAGTGAATGTGTTACCTGTGAATAATCAGATATGGGGAAGGTAAAAAAAAAACAAAAAAACCTGTAGGAGCAAAGTCAATTTAAATGAGACAATATTCTTTTAATAACTTCACACTTAGAGGACCCGGGACAAGGAGAATGTCGTGAGGGAGACGCAGCGCCAAAAGTAAGTGTTTTATGTAGCTCTGTTTGTTATTTTTCCTCATTTTCCACTTTCTGAGGAGACCTGAAGTTTGTGTTAATAAATAAGACAAGTAACTGGGTACCAGAATCTCACTTGTTTTTTGTTGGTGTTTGTTTTAGAGAAACATTGTTATTTTGATGTATCCACTGTGAATTGCAAAAGTCTGCGAAGACAGGTCACAGCTCTCCTTGTATTTGCACATTAAAAAACCCTCAGTTTCCTCTGCTTATTATTATTCATTTTTTTCCTCTACAGCAGTGAAGAAGGTCCCTGCAGATGTTCCCTTGGCTTTTATGTCAAAAGCTATCTGACTGATATGAGGAAATGTCAGCCGAATCCAAAGTAAAAACAACCTGATTATTCCTTTCCATGAAAGGTCACCTGTGACACACTGTCTCAAAAATGTAGGATACATTTCTCCAACATAAGTTGTACCACGCCGTACCCAGCTGTGTCCGTCTCTGCTCAGCTGGAGACACGCTCAAGTCAGCAAGTCACCCATTTCTGTTTATAAAATGTATGGATTTCTGATAAACTCCACGTGACTGCAGCTGATCATGGGACTTTGGTTATGTCTCTACAGTGAGTGCACACAGTTTATATCAGCTGACACCGGCATGTATTCGCACCACAAACTCTGATGTCTCCATTAGACTGATAGTGTGCA